AAAAAGTCTGCAAAAAACCCATCTACCCTGTTGCACTTGTCACCAGTAAAGGGTACACAGCTCCACCAAAAAAGAAACAAAGACAACGACCGTAGCAGAGGCAGTGCGAAAGCAACATCAAGGAAGAGAGCACATTTGAGGGCAAACCTTTTTCTCTCTCTCTACCTTTTCCCCTTTCAACTACTGTCTTAACTAAGTGCTGGATGGTGTTCTCTCTTTCATCTCTTCGCAGCACAATTAAAAAAATTGGATTAGCGGCTGCAAAAAAAAATGCTGAGAAAAGAAAAGCAAAATAAAAGAGTGCAAAGTGGCGACCGCTAAGCCCAGAGAAGAAGCGAACAAAAAAAAACTTCGCTGAAACTAAAGCCAAATCTGAAGTGTCTCGCGGCTCGCACGTCAACAGGCGGCGGCGGTCGACGTCGACGTCGCTGTCTTCGTTGGCAGATTACGCCGGCAGATAATTAAAATCGTAACTACGTTTACGGTGGTGTCCGCACAGTGGGTGCGCATGGTGTGCGCTGAAAACAATTGAAGGGCATCACAATTGGGCCACAATTACACAGATCTAAGCCAATTTTTGATAAAGTAAAACGGAAGACTGTTCCTTCCGTCTCCTATTATTCCATTATAAACGGTATCCTCCGTAGTCTTTGTACTCTCACATTTAGCACACTTATTTCCACTGACGTTGCACTGACTTTCACAACCCACTGTAATTTGCCCAGGCCAGTGTCTATGGCTAAGTAGAAGCGAAGCGAAGCTCTCTTTCTGGCAAGTACTTCGTACTTCGCACTAACCGCGTTGAAAATGAGGTTTTCTTGCCCCCCCACTAACCCCCCCAACAGCTGCTCTTTTTTTTGCACACCAGATATAGAGCCGAGTGAATTAACTCATTCTTATTTCGCCATAATAAATTCCACAGCATTCATTATTTGCATATTAAAACGTAAATAAAGAGTAGAGCAGCAGAAGAGTAAGTTTTAGTTTTAGTTGGGGCATGCTGGGGCATATTGGGGCCTGTTTTATGGGCTAATCATAGGGTAATGCAATTCAAACTAATTGAGCGACAGCTGAGGGAATGAGAGAAGGTCTTGAATGAAGCTAGTATGTGGAGCGGTACTAGATGATAATTTGCTGTCAATGATTTGTGGGTCAACAGGTGATAGATGGGGCTCGGAATGCAGCTTTCATAGGAAAAGATATAGAAAGTGATCTTCTGGGAGACATATTTTCCCCTTTGGCATGCAATTTTCCTTAATGATTGCAAATAAATTACATATTTGCCGAAAATTGAACGCCACGATATGCTTCCTCCTGGCCCCAGCAAAACAGCCCACAGAGTGCTTCCCTGGGAAGACTCGTCTTATATAGAGATTTATTTGCACAATTCCGGTTTTGGGATATTCCCTTGCCTCTCTTTTGGGAGCCGTTTTTAGTGTGTGTATATTTTCACTACTATTTGCTCATCTTACAGGGACAGAGATCCTCAATAGGAGCCCGAACCTGACGTTTCGTGAGAGCCCTGCGCTGCACTGCATAACGAATCAACGACCAAAGAGGATGGACAGACAAGGAGAGCGAATGAGATGGAGACAGGCACGACAGCTGTTTCCCGCTGAAGAACATTTGACACTGAGATTTTTGGAGAGGCGCCCACAGTGGATCATACAAGACTAAAACCAAAAATATTTAAGATTGTCCATTGACACTGACACAGTGACACGCAAAAAAATCAATCAATAGTATTTCAAAATAAATTGCATTTTGAACAGAGTCCGTCGTCTAGTTAGCATTATTAACCATGTTTATGCCTCTTCCTCGATTCGCTTTGCACAATTATTTCCCAGTTTATCGGCGATTTTGTATTTCGTTAGATTTTTGTTAAACACTTTGGATCTTTTTAGTATTGCCAATTACCATTCCGTTTGTTGGTTAAAATATCATAAATGTTGCCAACAACAACACACAAGGAAAGAGGGGCAACCAACAATTGCGGGGGTGCGCGACGCGCGCAGCTGAATGTGGTTTTACGTTTGTTTTCACTCGCACGAAACGCGACAAATAACGGCGGCAACGACTGAATTTGAGCGTGCTCGGGGAGCAACTGACAGCCCCCAAAATGCGGTGAAGCCGCTGAAGCTCCCACAGTGGAAGAAGGAAAAGCAACAAAAGTGCAAGAAGATGAAGAAGAAAAAGCAGCGACAAGAGTAGTGGTGTGAGAGAGAAGCAGCCAAAGCAACGGTGAGCGAGAGAGCGGGCGGCAGTATACAACGTAATCAACCATAGAGACGAAAGCCCAAGGCGAATCCGGACAAGGTAAGGCACTACTCTCCAATCTTCAAGAAGTGTTTTATGTTGAAAAAAGTTTTTCTTCTTGATCATGTCCGTCTGTCTGTGCTATATGATTGTAACTAGTTTTCTTGGAAGGTCTTTCTCTTTTCCCTTTTGTTTGTGTATTCTGCAGACCGCATCTATTAAATCGTGAGATCGTTCTTTGTTAATGGCTCACCTTACATTAACACACCTTGTGCTAGCCGCTCAAAAGGTAAGACAAGACACGGACGTTTTGTTTACGTTACGTGACGCTACGTAAACCTCTTGAGGCAGGTTGCGACGCTGTGGTGAATTTCCCGTTTGGATTGGCTACAGGTGTGTGTGTATGTTTGTGCCTGTGGTCTTGCTGCACCTTCCTGCAACACGTTGTTGCCGCTGCTGCTGATAGTCGATTCTGGGCCTAAAAATAGACCAGGCTGCGCGTGTGCCACAATTTGGCTTTATCGTTGATTGAGCGTTAGCCTATTATTAGCTGGACATTCGCTGGGCGCATACTTCTTTGGGTGGGTGGGTATGTGTGGTGTTTCGTTTATGTAGGAGGGAGGGGACATTTTAGGCGCGGGAAAAAAGTTATGCGTTCATTTGGCAGCCCATGCATTGAACGGTCGGGGGCAACACATTCGATATGCTACTTAATAGCCAATAGATTGCTGTAAAATTTAAACCCGCTGTTAAAAGTATTTAAATTGGGTTAAAGCTGATATGATTATGCCATTTAAGTCCTTGTTTAGTCCAGTAATAGTTTCGTTGAAGATAAAAAGGATTAGACAAACATTAATAATACAGTAGCATCTACAGTTTCTTTCTTCGCTCAAGAGTGAGAAGGATAGACATTTCTGGATATTTTCCCAGAAACAAAACTTAACACTTAGCTACGCACGTCTTCACGTCTTTCGGGAGTTTCCCCAAGTTCAGAGTCAAACAAATGTCGATTCAGACTTCAAATATGTTAAAGCTACAACATAGCAAAAACAAAACAAAAGGCATGATAGTACATGAACTGATAATAGAGTTGTCACCAAATTGCCTTGAACAACAAACAAAACAAAGAAGAGGACAAGGAAGAATGAGCAAGAGAGAGATGGATATAGCTCTGAGAAGATGCCGATGAAAAGACAGACGCCGCACCGTGGGATGGAGGAACAGACACCAGACAGATATGTATGAGTCATCCCAGAGTGTTTTGTACTGTTTTCTTCCACATTAAAATTGTGTGTTGTGTTTTGCCTTTGCGTATAATTGCGCGATAAACGAAACTAAATGTCTTTTATAATGTAATTTGGGTAATTTTTTGGCGCGTTTTTTGCTTTGCTTTTCACGCATCAATGCCGTTTGGTTATTTTTGGCCCAGCGATTCATGCGATCGACAGAGACAGAGGTTCAGAGGTGAGGACAGAAGCTGCGAGAGAGCGGGACAGATTGACAGCGGTTCAGAGGTGAGAACAACCAACAACAGACTTTGTCTAGTGAGAAACCCGGACCCCGCCCGCCCCCCTCTCATGCTAAGTTGAATGGACTTTCGATTTTTAATGTTCGACGGCGACTTTTTTTATGGCCACATTTGGCAGCACAAAGTCAACAATATTCGAGGAGTACATTAGCCGCGAATCGAGTACATAAATATTTGCAATCTCGCTTTGTTCCCTCTGCTAAATGCTAACCCCGCACAGTGCTGGGGTTACTGAAATTTACAGTTATCTTTGCTCTTTCCCACTTGATTTGGCTTTATGTTCATGTTAATTACATTATGACCCATTTAGCCGGGAGTCTGAGATTCCCTTGTCGGCGAACCCCATCAAACTGGAGCGCGAAGTCGAGATCCAAAAATTCGCGAAGAAGCGACCCGCTGACTGCCCCGCAGACAGAATGTAATTAAGCGGGAATTTTTGTGTGATTTTGATACCCTTTGCTGGTGGGGGGTATACATTCATTACGGCTACAGACATCTCGACTACTTTATGCGGTGTGAATTTTTGTATTATTTATTTATGTATGCAATGTAAAATAAATAACGAACTTATATTTATCTATTCATAGCTCCGGGGCCTTAAGCTAAAATAATATACCCATACACATGTATAATATGCAAGTGGGCAGTACATATTCGCTAAACTAAAACAGTCAGAATAAGCATAAGTTCATATATTTTACAGGGTATCTACATCACGGCACTAGTTATTTTTCTCCTTCATCTTCTTTTGCTGTTCCGCATTTTGTTCTGACATTTCTGCCCTTTGTTGTGCTTGTCTTTTGTTGTTAGTGTGGGAGTGAGAGCGCAGAGAGCCTGCGGATGGCAGCCTTCGGCCTGACTCACCCTCACAGGGTTCCCTTCCCCCTCCCCATCAGCCTTTGGCAAGACAGAGATCACAGACACTTGAGGACTCTGCTGTCATTCGGTACCGAATCTGGCGCGAGAGAGATGCCAGATTCTGATAACTGTAGAATTGGGTGTGAGCGAGCGCACCTTGACTCGCCCTGCCTCTGCCCTGCCCTGCCCTTTGTCATATGAGCTTACAGCTGCAGTGCAGTGCAGAGTAATTGATACAGTGGGTGTCATAAGTCCTGCCGATAAGGCCATTCCATTGAATGTGAAAGGCAATCGTGGAATGACTAGATGTGAGTAAGGGTTTCTGCTGATAAGTGAGTGGGAGTACCTGACCAGCTAATATGCTCATTATATATCAAGAGAAGTGAGTAAGGGTATTTGTATAAATAAACACAAGCGTAGGCGTCACGATAGATATCGCAACAAGACGCGACGCCGGGCAGGCTGCCAAGAAGCCTGCAGTCTGCTTTGAAATCAAGAGTGGGGTGGGAGTGAGAGAGGGTGGTGAACCACTTACCCTACGCTGTTGTTGCTGCTGCTGGTGCTGCTTTGGTGGCTCGTAAAAGCTGCTGCCGTTCTCCAACCACTCCACGTCTCTGCAAGATCAAAATAGAGAGAGGGAGAGAGCGAGAGAGAGAGTGTGCATTAGCAACCACATGTTGGACATTCACCACAAAACAAACGAAAGAAAGCACTCTCTCTTTCTCTTGGAGCTTTCGCTCTCCTGCTACCCACCTTTGCATGCGTTGGATGACCGGCCTCTGGGCGGTGCTGTCGTGGATGCGCACCTGATCCGGCGTGATCTCCTCCAAGAGGAACATATTCTTGTTGGCCAGAGAGGAGCTCTCCTCCAGCAGAAACATATTCGTGCCGCTTTCCGGCCCCGCATCGCTGCTGCTGTTGTTGTAGAAGAGCGGACTGAGCGGCCGGCAAGCGCCACCCAAAAGCTCATCGATGTTCTGATGCCGCGAGATGAATAGCTTCTCACCTGGCCGCCTCATCTGTGGGGAGAAGCGCGGCTGCAGCGACGTCGGTGGCGCTGACTGCGCTGCCGGCATTGGGGCTCTTCCCATTGGAATGTTGTCGTAGGGCGAGGGACAGCGCGGTCGCTGCTCTGTCGGCACGGGACTGGCGCACTGTCCCAGCGGCGGTGGGCGTTCGGTGAAGGCAAAGTGGAAGGAGCTGCTCAGCTCGTGTGGCGTCTCCAGTTGCTGCTGCTGCGGATTCCTGCGCCTTAGATCGGTCTCATCTCTGCCCAGGTGCTGCTGCTGCTGCTGCTCCTCTTCCTCCTCCTCGTCGCTGCTGGCGTTGGCAGCGACTGCAACTGCTGCTGCTGACTGCGCTGCCTCTGGCTCATCCTGCAGCCACCAGGCCCGCTCGCCCGACTCCCAGTGCTTGATGATGCGGGGCGGGGGTGTGGGTGGCTTCACTGGCGGTGGCTCCATCTCTTTCTCCTTCTCCTTTTCCTTCTCGTTGTTGTCCTGCCACCAGGCCCGCTCGCCGGACTCCACGCGTTGCACGTTGAAGAGCTTTTTGGTGGGTCCCGACATCCACCAGTGCTTGGGGCCGTCGTCGCTGTGGCTTTTTGAGTTGCTGCTCCTGGAGCCGCTCGGTAGTTTCAAGGTCACCTCCACATGCGTCTCGTTATTGTTGTTGTTGTTGTTGTTCTCGTCCTCGTGGTAGCCATTCGAGCGGAGAGGGGATTGGGGCAGGGACTGCAATTGTGGCGGGGACTGTGGCAGGGATCGGGTCTGAGGTGACTGCGATTTCAACTTTGCCTGAGTCTGGGACGGGGGCTGCTCCTGCTCCTGCTCCTGCTCCTCCTCCAGCCACCAGGCATCCTGCTCCGGTGAGATGCGGCTCCTGGGCATCTGCTTGACCTTGGAGTGCGTCTCCAGCTCTTGGTCCTGGCTGCTCCAGTGACTGGGATCATCGTCCAGGGTATTGAGTGTCTCCTCAGCCAGCGTATCATCATCCCCCTCATCATCCGCCTCGCTGCGGCGCAGCCACCAGGCCTGCTCCTCCCCGGAATCAATGTGTCGCAGCCTGTACGGAGGCATCTCGCCGTTCGGATTGTTCTGATCCAAAGCGGAGGCTGTGTTTATCTGTAGACTGGTGTCCTGCCACCAGCTGGGTTCCTCCTGACTCGGGTCCTGCTCCGAGGTGGTGCTCAGGCTAGTGTCCTGCGTGGTGGTGGTGCTGCTGCTGCTGATCGTCGTTGGGGTGTGGGCAGTGCTGATCCTGGTGGTGGCTGGACAGCGGGTACTCGAACTGGGGGGACTCAGTGGGGATCTCGTCGAGGTATTCGCTTCGCTCGTGGGCGTCGTTTTGGGCGTCGATTTCGTTCGCGGTTCGTTCGTGTTAAGATCTGTGGCCAGACTGATCGATGGTGGGGCGGCGTCCGGCTCCCCAGAGCTCTCCGAGCTTTCGAGGAAGATCGGTTCACTATTTGCGTCTTGCTGACGGTTCGCGAAAAAATTCGACACCGACGAGAGCTTCTGCAGACGTCGCGACTGTGGCGATCGGTTCGATGGTGGGGCTGCTGCCACCGGACTCTCATTCGGATCGGGATCGGCATCGGCATCGGCATTGTGGCTCTCTGGTGAAGGTGACTCAGGTGCTGCGTTGGCGGCTGGCGTATTCGATTTGCGGCTATTTTGGTTGGCCAACAATTGGCCGGCGTGGCCGGCAACGACCTTGCCTTCTTTGGGCGTCTTCTTTTTGCTCTGCTTTTTAACGGTCTTGACCCCTCGCTGCTCGCTGTCCGAGGCGGAGGTGCAGGTGGAGGAGGTGGCCGCAGAGGATGAGGATGTGCCCTGACGGCTGCCCGCTGAGGAGGAGGAGGTCTTGCCATTGCTCAGCTTGGAGCTCTTCTTTCCGGAGCCGGCCGAGGCCAGACTACCCTCCGAGCCCGCACTGGGCGAGCGCTCCAGTTGGCCAGAGCCGGAGCCTGCTCCATTGGTCCCCACGTCCTCGGACTCCCCGCCACTGGGCGTGCGCGATTTGCGCGGCCTGTCCGTGGGTCCCACATTCAGGGAGCTCTTGCGGAAGTCCTTGTTGGGCCACTTGACGGCAGAGCTGCCCGAACTGGAGCTGGAGCAGGTCTTGGTGGGTGATTCACTTTTGGTGGGCGCTGCCGGTGGCTTGTTGGCCAGATTCTCCACCGAGGACTGGCGTGAGGCATTCAGCCGTACGGCCTTGGGCGGGGAGAGCTTTGATTTGCTGGCGGAGGCGGAGGATTTGGCGGAGCTGCCATTACTCAAAGCGCCGTTACTCTTCGACGCTGGACTGGGCACCTCTGCCGGCGACGCTGATGACGCCGCTGACGCCGATGACTTCCCCTCCACAGAGGGGGAGGCGGACTTGCTGGACAGCGGACTGGCACTGTACCGGAGGCTGCTGATCCGGTCCCTGTGCGGGCTATAGGTGGAGCTGAGGCTGCTGCTGCCGCCGCCGCTGTAGCGCAGATATCGCGTGGAATCGTCCATCCTGTCCGACTGGGTCTCCTTCTCCAGCATCTGGCGGGGCTTCGTGGACCGCTGGATGCTCTTCTCGATCGTCTTGGCAATGTCGATGCGGCGCGTGCGCTGAACGGTGGTGCTGCCCGGCGGCGTGGGCGATGTGGCACGCGTCACCACCGCCACTGAGACGAAGGTTTCCTCGGACGGTGGGTCCTGTTGCACCTTCTCCTGTTCCTGCTCCTTCTGTGGGCTTGCCTGCTTGCCCTTCTGCTGCTCCTCACGTGGCTTCTCTGGGGGACTTGTGGGGACGGGAACCTCCTGCTCCTTCTCCCTGCTGGCCCTGGCCCGACTGGCCGTGCGCGCATGAAAGTCGCTGGTGGTCAGGTAGGAGATGGCACTGCCATTGCTGCTCCCATTGCTGATCCTTGATGCGGCGGCGCCGAAGCGACTGCCGTACCCGTTCCTGGCACCTGACGACGAGGAGGAGGTCGAGGTGTTGCCACTGCGATAGCTGGCTCCCAGTTTGCTCCTCCCGCTGTCAATGACTGGACTCGGATCCCTCGACTTGCCGCGGTTCGTGTGCTCCAGGGCCACTGGACTGGGATCTCTGGATCTGCCGTACTTTCCCAGCGTGCTGCTGCTCGCTCCCGCTCCCGTGTACCGCTTGATGGGACTGCTCCGCTCACTGGCGGCCGTCTCCTTGGGCTCTGTCTTGGCATAGCGACTCACGTAGCTGGTGACGGGCGCTGGGGCTATTGTTGTGGGTGGATCTCGCTTGAGGCGGTATGTGCCGCCCGAGAATGATGGTCTGTAGGCGCTGGGCGTGGCCAGGGAGCTGTAGCGCGATGTGGAGTCTCCTCCAGCTCCATACTGTAATGCGGAGAGGGGAGGGCGAAGGTGAGTGGGTGAACTCCAAGAGCATTTATTTAATCACTTACCGAAGAGCTGCCTGTTTTGTAGGAGCTGCCCAGGCTGGACTTCCAGGGTGCCTGCACAAAGAGCAAAGGAATTGGGATTAGTCGCTGAATTTTAAGGATATTTCACTATAATTTTATGCACATAAGCAGGCACCACAGAACTGTATCCCCCACCAGTTTCATAGAAATCATATTAATTTTGGATGAGCTTTTGGGATATTAAGTTGGGGCAACAAAATAGAAAGTTTATTCCATTTTGTTTATATCAGTAACGTAAAGCAGCTGTGGGAACTCTATAAACGAGAAAATTTGTTTATAGAGTAATTTACTTATAGAGTAAATAAGACTTTATATTTTTTTAAATTATTAAAGCTTCTTTAACCCAAAATATATTTAGTTCCATCAGACCCACAGACACACCCATATTTAAATTAAATAATCCACTTTTAAAAGCAGCAGTGAATTTAAATAAAATTCACTTTTGTTTAAAAATAAAAAATATTTATATTAAAAATAACCCACATTAAAATAAATTTAAAAAATTAAATTACTGGAGAATATATTTGATTTAAATATGAAAATATTTATATTAAAAATAAAGTAAAACTTTATATTTTAAATACTTTTAAATAAAATATATTCATATTAATGTCAAAATGTAGACACAATTAGACATATGTTATCCAGTCAATTAACAGTTCTTAATGCGCATCGAACCACCTCTCAGATGTGCTCTACATACGGAAAGGTCCACCGATATAGGGGTTAATTTATTTCTGCGTATTCCTTGTATTATTCCTCGAAATTCTCATTCTCTTTGCTCATTCAAATGAAATTGAAATTGATAGGGGAATCACATGGCTTGGCTTTGATTGATTGGCGCACTCAGACCACAGCAACAATTGACATCCCGGCGTCCACCCCCCTCCCCGATCGAACTGTGGGGCACTTTCTCAATGAGTTGTGCACCCGACAATTATTCGCACACATTTCATCATCATCATCATCAAGAGAAGCAGCAGCAGACACAGCAGCCACAAGAACCCAGGCATCATCATCAGTCGCTGCATCAGCCTCTGTTCTGTTCTTTCCGAGAGAACATCAACACCATGCAGACGATGCCAAAGAATCTCCCCCAACTTTCCCTATTGGATGCCCAATGTTATTTGTATTTTCGGGGGCTGCTTCTGATGCTTCTGCTGCTTTGAACTCGCTTCAGTGCATTTTCCCTGCCTTTGGCTCTATTTCATTTTCAATTAAATGGCGCTGTAGCACGCGTTTTTCAATTAATTTGGACGTGTAAACAGATTCATTTCGATTATTTCAACATGTGCCTTCTAATCTCGTCCGATGCATCGGGGGCATTAGAAGATCTCTCGCGCCCTCGACAGAGACACATCTTGGCCACGAACATATAAATATTTAGAGAACCCCCGTATTCAGGTGGTGTCCAGGGGTGCAGACAGACAGACAGACAGACGGACAGACAGACGGACACACCATTTAAAATTGCAAAATTCTTATTAGATTTTTATAGAATTTTGGCACAGCTAAGGATCTTTGTACCAATTAATGCAGATGATATTTAATGAGCAGATGAAGTGCTGTTGAACCCCCACTAAATTGACAGAGACACGAAGAATATGGCGCATTATGCGAGCAGAAAAAAGAATTGTACAAGATGTTGTGGGAATTATTTAACAATTTATTGCTCGAAATATTTAAATTTCCCAAGGTATTGATGGAAATTCTTCAATGAAAATTCCTCAATTTAAATAGGTTTCGATTCGAAACAACTCCCAAGTGGCGCCAGTCCTCCCATGACATATATCAGGGCATAAAGAATAATAATAATAATAATGAATTCCTCCAGCGACCGCCCAATGAGAGATCTAACATAGACAAAGAGAGCGAGTGAGGTAGCCATGAAGACAGTGAGAGACAGGGGGGAGGAAGCCAGAGAAGACAGAGAAGAGACAGCAAGAGAGACAGACAGACAGTGTCGGCTAATTGTTTTCGCTCAGTGAAATGGAATGCCAAATACACAAATAGCCCCAACAATGTGCAAAACAAGCAAACGGAGACGACACTCAGCCTCAGCCACAGCCACAGCCGACACCGGAGAAAAGTCTGCTGGGATAGAGATGTGGGATGTGGATGTGTCTATGGATGGATCTTCTCTGGAATGAGTTTGCCATATGCCCCTATCTGGGGAGCGGAGTGGAGCGGAGTGCGTACTTCTGACAGCGTTATTATGCGGACTCAATTAGGGACCTCAGACCTCAGACCCCAGACCGCAGACCCAGACCAGACCCAGGATGCGCTATAAAGCGCCTGTCTGTCAGTCGAGCGAGTCTATAAAGCACAGGCACAATTCACTCACGAACTATAACTACGAAATACATACAAATGTATATGCATATGTACAGTATGTGTGTATATCTGCGAGTCCAACGATCTCAAGTATTCGCGTGCCATGCGTCCGATGTCCGCCAGACATGCTCGTATATGATTTATTTATAAATGTTTTTCCTACTTTTCGCTGTCAAAAGTGTCGACAAAGTGCGTTTCACGAAATTCGAATGTGTAAAGAAAATAAAAGTGAAAATCAACGAGAACTGAGTGTTAGACGATCATTTATTTGTACGTTCCCAGATACGTATTCAAATGCAAAACAAAAAGTGGACATTGCAAAGGGATTGTTTTTTCCTGTTTTAGATTAGGCTCAGCTCAGAGCTTGTCTCTGAATCGGAGTCCGAATCAGTTGAGGTCTCTTGCTCGTATTCCAGCATTAAAGTGTAGGGCGGCTCCTGGTCGTAGCCCTGTTCCAGCTCCTCCCCCGATGTCTCCTCCTGCTGCAGCTGCTCTTCATCAGATATCTCTGCTTGCTGCTTCTGCTGCTGCTCCTCCTCCTGCTCGTCTTCGAATATATCTTCCTGCTGCTGCTGTTGCTGCTCCTCCTCCTGCTTCTCTCCCTCTTCATTGTCAAAAACTATACCCAAGTGTCCAGTCTCTGGCACAAAAGGATCCCAGACAGGCGGATAGAAGGGATACATGGCTATGGCATCGCGCATCTGGCGCATGCTCATCTCGAAGGCGATATCCTGGACGTTGCGCGGCGGCGGCTCGTTGGTGAAGGGGCCGTTGAAGTGCACATAAATGTCACCGGGCGCCGTCAGATCCAGGCCGCACATGGTCAGATCTTCGCCAAAGACCAGTTGGGTGGCCGCCGGATTGCTGTGGCTGGCCCGCATGGCCGAGAGCAGACCCACCATTCCGTACTGATCCGGAATCATCGAGCCGGGAATGTCGCTGAACAGTCCATCGGGAGTGCTCCGTATGCCACCCGTCTGGCAGGGTGCCGCCAATCCCTCAAACTCCGTGCAATACGAGGGCTGACCGAAGATGTCCGCATACGAGGGCAGCGTCGGCATGCGGCCGTACAGCTCTGGGAAGAGCTGTAGCTCCCAGTCGTTGGCATTCTGGCCCCACATAAAGGCAAAGGTATCGTCGGGCATGGCGTTGGGTGACGATCTCTGGCCGTTGGACGACCCTGGCGATGGGTCATCATGGATTGGCGGCTGCTCCACAACAGCTTCTGGCTCCTGGGCATAAATCAGTTCGTGGATATAGGATGGCAGTTCGTCGAATGCCTCCTCATCCTCCTGCTCCTCCTCCTCCTCCTCGCAGATTGGCTCCTGGTCGTTGCGCTGCTCCAGTTCATCGTTTGGTTCCTGCGCGTAGAGCGGCTCCTGCTCCTGCTCGTAGAGCGGCTCCTGGTGCAGGTCTTCGTCTGGTTCCTGCTCGCAGATGGACTCCTGGTCGTAGCGTGGCGTCTGGGTGGAGAACTGCACCTGACACTGCTCATAAAATACTTCCTTTCCGCAGTAACAGATCGACTCGGGGTCACAGAATGGCCCCTGATCGCAGTATGACCCTGGGTCACGGCACGGCCCTTGCTCACAGTGCGCCTCTCGGTCACAGCCTGGCGCCGGATCACAGCCTGTCTCGTAGTTGGAGATCGTCTCTGGATAGCAGACTGATTCCATTTCAGAGACCTCAAAGGTCGACTTTTCGTCAGAGTTCGACTCCACGTCATAGGTGAACTGCTCCTCATCGGTGACGGATGACTCCGACTCGTCAGTGCTCGAATACTGGTCCTGGCCGCAGATTTGCTCCTCCTGCTCAAGCGACTCTTGGTCATAGAGTAGCTCCTGCTCAAGCGCCTCCTGGTCATAGATTGGCTTCTGCCTTGGGGTACAGCTTGGCTCCGTGGCAAGTGTCGGCTTCTTGGCCGACATCGTCGGGTTCACCTTCTTCGGCTGGGGCTGTGGCTGTGGCTGTGGCTGCGGTTGCGGCTGCTTTGGTTGTTGTTGCTTCTGCTGTTGCTTTGGCTTGTGGTTCGATTTTTTGGATTTTTTTGCATTCGCCTTTTTGGCATTGGTATTTTTTGCATTTGAGCTCTTCGAGCCGCTGGCGTTGTTGCTTTTATTGTTGCTATTGTTGTTGTTCTCTTTAGTGTTGATGTTGTTGGTATTGTTGCTGTTGCTGTTGTTGTTGTTGTTGTTGTTGTTGTTGTTGTTGTTGTTGCTCTCCTGGGTCTTCTTGCGCAGCACTGCCAAGGATGCGGCATTGCCGCGAGGACGACGACGACGTGGCATGGTTTAATGGTTTCTCTTAATTTGTTGGTTGTTGGTTTTGTTGGTTTTGTTGGTTTTGTTGGTTGTGAAAATTTCCTAGGAGTTTGGATTTTGCAATTACGCAGACTTTCTGCCTTTTCGAATTTGTAATTTTTTGTCTTTTGTCTTTTTTGTCTGTGCACACTGAAATGCACGTAAACTGAAACCTTTTGATAGCTTTGCTTCGGAAGAACACAATTAAATGACAGATGCCGGGCATGGATACTGATTTTGTGACGCGGCGAATGACACTTCGATTTCAAGGCACTCTTTGGGGGGAGGGGGAATTTACAAGCACTTTCCACACTCGAAAACAGTGTTGGGAAATGATTGCACTCTATGAAAGAGAGAAAAAGCAAAGCATTAATAACGAGTGCCGCCTGTAAGGTTCAATCTGCTGCAAGTTCGAAGCTGCCTGGCCAGGGCTGAGGAGAAGCGCTCCTTGAGGCTGATTCGATGCCACGAAAGGCGCTTTTAACACTTGAAACAGTGTTGTAAGCAAGTCCCTTTTGTTTTGACAACTTTCTGTCACATTGCAACAAATTACGTAATTACGGTACGCGTAAAATTAAAAAAAAGGAAGCGAAAAGTAGAGAAAAAAAGGAGAAACCATGAGCGACGCCACTGACGTTCAGTCTGCTGTTATTTTGGAGCTGCAAGGCGTTAGGGAGGCCGCACTTCCGCCCAGCTTTAACCCCTCGGATCACGGCCTGGAGGATACCTTTCGTCTGACACGCTTCGTCGACTCGGAGGCAGGCGGCTGCAAGGTGCCCAAGGATGAGCTTTTGAGCGCGCTCTTGGCAGCGGGTCTCACCAAAGCGGGGCAGCCGGAAACCGTAGTGCAGGACGAGACGCTGCCGTTGCCATCGGTTGTGCCCAAACTGGGCATCCCGTTCGACTGCTCTGTGATTCCGCTGCGCACAGGCGCATGCTGGCTGGTGCAGGCCGCCGGCTTCTGCTGCCCCATCATTGACGATCCCTACGCGATGGGCAAGATCGCCTGCGCCAAGGTGCTGAACAATCTCTATGCGATGGGCGTCAGCCAGTGCGACAGCATGACGCTGCTGCTGGGCGTGAGCAGTGGGTGGACGGAGCAGCAGCGCGATGTGGTGCTGCCCATAATGATGCGGGGCTTCAAGAGCCGCGCCTCTGAGGCTGGCGCCCAAATTTCTGGCGTCCAGATCGTAGTCAATTCCTGGTGCATGCTGGGCGGAGTGGCCTCGACCATTTGCCAGATGAACGGGTTCATTGAGCCGGGCTACGCCATCGCTGGCGATGTCCTGTTGCTGACCAAACCCCTGGGCACACAGCTGGCCCTCGATGCATACCGGAGCATCGGCAACGCACCGGGATCCTGCCGCAAGCCCATAAAGCTGACCATCACCGAGGAGCAGGTGAAAGAGGCCCACCGTCAGGCCACCAAGTCGATGTCCCGCCTCAATCGCGAGGCCGCTCGGCTTATGTTCAAGCACAATGCCCACGGGGCCACCCACGTTGGCGAATTGGGTCTCTTGGGGCATGCCCAGCACCTGGCATATCTGCAGAAGAATGAGCTTTCCTTCTCCATTTACAACCTGCCCTTGATCGGCCATATGGCAGCCCTGGCCATGAACAATGGCGAAGCCAACGATCGCCTGCTGTTGCAGGGGCTTGCCCCCGAACATTCGGGCGGTCTGCTCATCTGCATGCCACGGGAGCAGGCCACCTCCTTCTGCTCCGAAATCAAGAAATTGGAGGGCCATCAGGCCTGGATCATCGGCAAGGTAGAGAAGGGCAACAGGAGTGCACGGGTCATCGAGAAGGTTCAGCTCATTCACGTGGAGGATGAATAAATGTTTGCAAATTTTTTACTTAAATAAAAACAGCGAAGACAACAAGAGATATAGTTGATTACTCTCTCCCACTCTCTCACACACACAGAGAGGGTTTTAGGGTTCCGATTCCAGCCACGGGAATTGCTTTGGTGTCCCTCACTGTCTCTAGATTCTAACAGTTCCCCTCTGTCAGCCATTAAATTTTACAGTGCACGAAGTGCTCTCTCTCTCTTTCTCGCTGTAGAGAATGCAAAAACAATATACAAAACAATAAATGGATTTGATCAGGATGATCTATCGCTGCTCCCATCCCATCCCATCGCGGCATTGGCTTCAAACAAATTGCATGAAGATTCACACTTTGTTAATTAATTAGGTGGTGCGTGCTCCGCGGCGGCTCTCACAGGGAACTTTCGACTTTATGCGTGTCATAAATATTTACAACTTCCTTCTGGCCATAAAAATCTTCAACAAAGTACCCAAAGCCGAGGAGCACCAACAATTCGAAACGGCAGCAACAGGAACACAAGAACTCTGACTACGTCACCCGTAAAAGAAGCACACAAACTATTTTATTTTTTTTGTTCAACATTTATAGATCCAAAGATTCTAAAAATAATTAGAAACTGATGCTGAGAGAGATCGTTGAAGGAGCGGGCGATGGAGTGGGAGTAGGAGTGGGAGCAGGAGAAAGGTGCACTCCGCTGATGGGAGAGAAATGGAAACTTGTTGTTTTCCGGCCATAAATTGATTGGTTTATTAGTTAGAGAGAGGGTCACAAATATATTTAATTGATTTATGCAGCGCCGTGTCAGAAGTCGGGCCAGAGTCATAAAGTTGATGTCGAGGAACGAAAGGATACAATGAGTGGAACATGAGTGGGACTTACGCAATTACGGAGAGTGAGGAGACTTTTCTCAGGGGATTAACGACTTGAATGTTAGGCCAAAAGATTTCATATGAATTATGCCTTGCCCTTATGTTTAGCTGCTGTGTGCTTTGAACTCTTTTCTGAATGATTATGATTTTCATAGCTTGGCTGATATGGTTATGGTTGATATTTCATCTTTAATAGATAACCTCAAGTGCAATCAAGATTGCAAATATAAATAATTCCAAAATATTCTGTAGAAAGTCAGAGAAACGAATATATTATTAATCTATAGCTATTTATTATACCTAATTGACTGGCATTGACTGCTCAAAATGCAGTAGCAGCCATTATTTCAAATAAATACTCTCCAAATGAAAAATAGCCAAAAATCAAGTTAAATGATTTGAATCCGCTGCCAAAAAGATCATCGGTGTACGTAGCCACATTAAAGTGATTGATTCCAGCTCATTCATTTGCCCATTCACTCATTCATTCGTTTATATTCGTTCATTTGTTCACTCATTTAAATTATACAAAGATCCCAGCCACACCTAGCCACACCATCACATCACTTGAGGCTGCTGCTGCCGCTGCTGCCTGTCTGGAAAATGAGAGCAATTAACTGGGCAAAAGTCAGACAATGAGCAAACGCTGTGGCTAAATTGTTTATCAATGGATCTGGAGGCACAAAAGCACACTCACAGATGCGCAAGAGCGAACGCAAACTCATAGATACATTTTATCTGGCTACGTGTGAGGTAAGGCAACAAATTAGAAATAAACAAAAATCTGTGGATGCTAGGAATTGCAAAAACACACACTGAAAAGCGCCAACCGCCAAGATCAAGATACCACAGATACATTGGGAGGGATACACAGATACATAGCGGCTACACGGATACAGATAGTTGGCTCTGCATTAACTTGCAAGATTACTTACATAACTGCGATAGGAAGACATTACGTTCGTTTTTGGCAAGCGATCGAAGCAATCAGAACTCTATCAGATTTTGTTTGGATAATTTCTGTATAATCTGTATAATTTATTTCGTTTATCTTCAGTGGGCTTCCTTTTGCTGGTAATCCAATCTGCCACACACACACACACACACACACTGGTCTCTCTGCTGCTGTAGAACGCGCGACGAGCGAACCAAAGATACACTACACTCGAACCACTGACGACAATTACGAAAGCGTATCTGTCGGATGCATGGGGCGGTCCGGTCGCCTCTCAATTGCAATAGATGCAAAATAAATTAGATACATTTACTGAATTCGCGCGCGTGCGACAAAAATATTTCTCTCCTTGTCTCTCTCTCTCTCTCTCTCTATTTGTCTCGATTCTTGACTCTGGTTTCCTTTTCGATTTTCTTTGCTTTCGGCCAACTTTCTTTTCTTTTCTTTTTATTTTGTTTTGTTTTTTCGCCGCTCTTGGATCTCCGAGATTGGGGATCTCTGGTGTGTGCCACTTTACATAATCCGCCGGCACGCACCGGCCAGGTTGATATACATATAGAAGATACTTATGTATAGAGCTGTGGAGCTGCCAGAGCTGCCAGAGCCAGAGAGCTATATGGAGGAGCTATAAGAGCCTATGGTGCTCCTCATCCGATCTATTTGAGAATGCAGCCGGCAAATGCGACACGGGAATCAGATGCGCGGACGACACACACGTCACGAGGCGTTTTATTTATGCCTTGATATTTTTCTTATTTTCCATCTCCACTTTTTCCACTTTGCTCCGCCAGCCCACAACTTTTCCTTTTATTTCATTTTACTTTGGGAGCACAGGCAGAACTTGGGATTTTATTTATAAATTTAGCAACATTTACACACACACACACACACACACTCATTCTCTCACACGATTATTTTGTCGCAGAACGCGAAAGCGAACGCAAGCGATGCGATTTTCGGTATTTTGAGTTTTTCAATTTTCCGATTTTCCCGTTTTGTTCCGTTTTGGCCCCGAAGCGTGTGTGCGACTCGGCGCGTTGTCAAAGGAAAACTGTCTGGCCTGGCCGCTGGGAAAATATATATTTTCTTGCCGAGATTTTTCCCTCGCACTGAACTGCGTGAAAAGCTGAGCAGAGAAAAGTCTCTCGTCTCTCGTCTCGCTCTCTCTCTCTCTCTATCGCTGGGTGTGCGTGTAGTATTTTCGGCAGGCGGGTGAGTAGCGCAGCGTAGAGATCGCCGCCTCGTCTTCTCCTTCTCAGTCGATGATCGCTGCGTTTGTGAATTGCAATAGAGAAATAAATAAAAAGAACACTCTATCAGAAAGGGTATCATTGGCACTATGATCAGCAGGTTAAGGTTTTATTTATCTACTAGTGATGAGCATAAGTTTATCGTGTAAAAATGCATAAAAAGTGTTGTAAAAAGACTTCAGCATACAGATCCTTCCTGTAAGATGAGTTGAGGGTATATAAAAGCTTTTTTTCTTTAGCACCAATTGGTATGATAGGTTTAGGTTAGGTTAGGTTTATAGGGCTGCTCGACCGAAGTCGAGATCACTCGGAGGCAAGTCTGCCCATTGTGACGATAGGTTTAAGGGCTAAAGAAAAATTTGTACATCAAATAGAAGTATTTACCATTGATTATACAAAATTATTCACCATATAGACAGTTTTAAAATAATTCAAAAAACAAACTTTAAAATCTAAATATACCTTGGAAAACGTTTGCTATATATTCCAAATGTTCTACATACTTTTTTAAAAACAACAGCTCCATTAAGGGACATTTTATACCGAAATAAACATATTCTTCATAATTTTAAATTATCCACCGATTGAAATTCAACGAAAGAACAAAGGAACTTTCCCTCTTAGAGTATAAAGATCGGCCGATACCTATTTCCATGTTTTATCCACTATTTTCCGTATGTATCTATCTGCTCAGCGTATATACATATGTACATATATCTGGCTTAAATTGGCCAACCCGGCTATATGTACTGATTCCCTCCCCTTCCATTCGTTGTACGGAAATGTGTGTAAAAATTCTTGTAATGCTCAAAAGTATTTCGCAGCTATATCTACGAGTATCTAGGCTATGGAATGAACATCATCATACTCGTAGTTGGTAGATACGATTCCCCATGTTTCCCCCATCTATTATTAGATAAATATTTTAATTAAAATATATTTCTGTCTTTGGGTGACTAATCGATGAGTGGGCCGCGTCCCGCAGATGGAGAGGAAGATGCACAAAATGTATCCAGCACCACAACAACGAAAAGTATCTCAAAATATGTGCTGCAGATGATAATTGTCGCCAACAGATACAGATGCAGTCTGTCATGTTTCGGTGACTGAAGGAAACCGAAAGGGAAGAGGCCACCACTACACGACGAGGGTCGGGAGGGGGTACCATGAACTTGTGAATGAGCTGATGAGCTGTCCCAATGGATGATGATTTATGTTTTGGGTAAGGTATGGATCACCGTGGAAGATTCTATAATTCTCCGAAGCACCTTGCTAATTCCACATTCATTCAGTTTCTCACGAGCTCAGGTCATGGCTCCCCAATAGCTCTGGCCCACATTCACCCTATGCCCCCCTTCGGCATTCTGGTTCAATTGTGCATCGCAGACATGTGCCCTCCCCATAAAAGAATATATCACAGATATCATACAGTAGACAACGTCACACTGCTAACGTATGTACGGGTATATGCTGATATTTGTTCTGGTTTTAAAAATAAAAATCTTTGTGCCACTTTTGCAGTTGCCGCTGCTGCCTCTGGCAGTCACCGGAAGCGTGCGGCTAACAAAGATGACGTCTAAACAGAAAATGAAAATGAAAATGAAACGGGGGAATTCGTGGGTTTTTAGTGAAAAACATTTAAAACTAAATATGCGCAAAATGCGGCGAAAAGCATTCAAATGGAAGATAATGCCTTACCCCAGGCCCCAAGCCCCAATCCCATAAATCAGAATGGGCGACAAAGATACAATACTAAAAGGGGGGAACAGACTGGGAAGAGGTAAATCCAAAAAGGGCGGCATCAATGGGCTAATAGCGGGCCAGCCCCAGGCAAAGTGGCTCGACACTTTGACGAAAGACATGCCAGAAAGAGTGCAGCGGCAACAGGGAGAGGAGGGATCACTGCGGAACGGGCCCAAGACTTAACCCAATCTGACCGACAGATACAAATAGCTTTCAGCGCTGCATTAAAAAATATAAAAGATACCAACAACAGGCGCGCATTTCGCATGATTTCCAGAAATATTTTCATTTTCCCAGTGCGTGCTGCACTGGGAACGCAACCCAGAAAAAAGCCGAAAACTGAAAACTGAGTGCAAACAAATCAGAGAAAGAGAGAAATACAAGGAAGAACTTCATGGATATAACGACTATAAGATACCCTTAAACAGGAAGAAATTTATTCAAATGAAATCCGATCCAAGAGTGGCCGGAGTCTATTTAAATCTGACAGTAATAAATATTCAAACAGGATTATTATAGATCTACCTATGTAGTATGTATAGTATGTACCTATGTCACTGAGAAGTGCACTCTGAAATGGACACTTCATTCAGCCTGTTACATGCATCCCATAGAGCACAATACACCCATTACGTATCCCTATGAGTGGCAGGGTATGATGAAAAAAAAAAAACAGAAAACTAGAAATGAATTTTGGGCAGGCAATAAAAAGAAATACACCGACAGCCATAAAAGTCAGACCCCGGCAATCCCCGGGAGCAACCAGCAGCTAGCAGCCAGCAGCCAGCGAGGTGCACACACAATGTGGTCGGTCAATCATGCTGATGTTCACCAGAGTTCCAATGGGATCCTCCATCACCATCTCCATCCGCATCCCAGTTTTCCCCAGATCTGGCCTGGCCTGCCCTGCTCTGCTCTGCTGTGCGGCTTTCAATCATTTTGTGCGCTTCTCAAATTTGTAATTTATGTCTGGGGCCGTTTGGGGGCGTGCCTCCAGCGACAGATTATGCAATGAAACGATGCAAACGCTAGTTAATAAAACGAATGGAGTGCCGGAGCAGGGGCAGGAGTAGGAGCAGGCGGCAGCCATCCTATGGGGAGGAGGAACAAACAGATGCAATTTGTTTGGTGGCACATAAAATCCGACAAAAGAAAATTGTTTTGCTGTCCGCAAGGCGGAAGACAAATGGTTGGGGTATTGGGACTCTAAAGTGATTATATCTATATATTTTGTTTCAGTAAATTTCATATATCTAACGACACTATAAACAAAATCTGAACTTTGGACCGTCTTCCATTCCGTTAAATGTTTTAAACCATGTGCAAATTGTGCCTACATTTTGTATGCCATTTGGAAAAATCCAAAGGAAAATCCGATTCAACAGGCGGTTGTTTTCCCGTTTGGCACGCGTGGGCCATAAAATATTTGCTGCTGGTCGTACATCAAAAAGTATTCCTTGACGGAATCGACTCGGACTTGTTCTGCGATTTTGCGCTGTGACTGCCAAATAAATACCATAAACATCCCAAATTGTAGTTAATTATCGTTGTTGTTTTTTTATTGTCTATTTATCTTGCTGTAGTACAGTTTTTTATTTACATACCATTTTCCGCTCTGATGTCAGAGGCTGCTACTGCTGCTGCCTGGCTATTGCCACATTTTCGTCTCGCATTTTCCACATTTTCCACGGCGCGCGTTCTGTGTGCTAATATATAATTTAAATATTGTATGGCTGCTGTTCTTAACCAGCCTCACTGTGTGTTGCAATCTGCGAGGGCCTTTTGTTTGCTTTACCGACACAATTTTTTTTGGCTGTTTCGATGGTCTGGGCATTTGATCGCTTTTTCAAGGTTGCATTGCATGGAAGCTGTTGTTTAGAAGTGTGTGCCTGGGTCTCAAGTATTTTCTTGTGGTTCTTTCATGAAAATATTACGTATACGCATTGCGTATACGCCGCAAGCAGTGACAGGGTTTAGAAGGGGTCTTCTTCATAAATATATATCAACTCCATTCAATTGCAAATCTAAGCCTATCGTTCTTAATCTTTGAGCATTATTTACTTCTTTGAAGTTTCCTTTTCTGTGGGAACCCCTTCTAGGAATATGCCACTGCCTCGATCGATCGATCTTAATCGGATGCAGCTTGTTGATTTTTGTAGATATATTTTTTTTATGGAAGTACTTGGGAATAGCTTATGTCTGAACGCGCTGAAAGGCGCAACTGAAGAGGCGTTCTAATATGCTCCATCTGAAGTGGATTCTGATTCGGTTTGGCAAGCACTGACAGTTTTTCCTAGCGATTTGCTCCGAATCTATTACAACATTTTGTGTAAACACAGCATTAAGAGCGGGTTTTTACGTCTAAACAGTTTTCAAAATCAAATATGGAACTGCTCGCCGCCAAAAAGAAAAAAGCTTCAAAAACAAAACTTTCGATCGTGAAATAGTTGTGAAAACTTTTTGGCAAGTGTTGCCAGCTGAAATCGGTTTTATATATATACATGTACGTACGCCTATCTATATATAATTTCCACCACAAAGGCAGGCGAAAAATGCGAGGAAAACAAAACGACAAGGCGGAACGCAAAGAACTCGTGAAAATGCGAAAATAAATCGAAAGACGCAACAGTAAAAATAAATTCGGGAAAATTAAGAATTAAAACCCTCGAAGTGCAGGAGTATGTGGCATCAAGTGAGATTAATTAGAGTCCAGGAATTTCATATACTTTCCCCCAGAGCAGGGGAACGCCCATTAAAATGGTGCTGCTGTTGGTGCATCTGCGGCGACTCATCCTTCTGCTGACCGTGGTCCACCTGTGCGGGACGGTGTTCCGGCGCCTCGTCACCGAACGACACCACGCCTACGTGCTGCAGCCCTATGGCTACCAGAGAGTGGGACGCCTCCGAAGTGGCAGCTGGTTCAAGGAGCCGCTCCATGTGCAGTGGTGGGCCTACATCTACACCTGCTACGGCTACCTAGTGCTGGTCAACTACGTCAGCATGCGCCGGCTGACAAATCTGATAGAGTTCTTCTTGAACTAAAACATTTTGTCGATCAATTTTACTTGTGGCTTAATCTATGGTATGGCAGCAGAAGCAAATGTTGCATGTAGGTCCTGTACCAGACAAATAATTGTGTTATAAATGCTATTTTAGGGTTCCTGTAATTAAAATATATTTCTATGTATTATATTGTATTTTATTATAAAAATGTATCCTTTAACCTACATATATACTGATGAAAGCCTAAATACGGCAAAACACATATCCATAATGCTGGTGGGACACTGCGCAACACACAGAACGAAAAGGCCGAATACATTTTTCCTCTTAAATTTAATGTTTCGATTTAAATAAATTTGTTTCTTTAATTTTACATCGCATCTACATTTCAATGCATGTTCTACACGAGCATGACATATATTTTACACACACTTACATGCGTTTTCTATGATTTTTACATACTTTTTCAAAGCAAGTGGGCAGAGCCACTATGAGTGGCAATGAGAAATAATTAAATATTTAGTGCCGCCATCTAGTGGTCAGGCCTTAGCTGGCTTGGCAGCTACGCCATTTTTTGTCTGAATGACAGACCGAATATTCGATATCATTTCGCATTATTAGTCGATGATAGATGCTACCCACTGAGCGCGGATTTCAAAACCCTATTTAAATAAAATTTGTATTCATTGCAAGGTGTATTACGTGAATGATCTAATGATCTGCCATCCTTAACTACCATAATCCATTCCACCATTTAGTGTTTGCCAATAATATTGTCGATTGTGAATAATGTCTTCTTTGATTGACTTTTGGCCAGAGATCGTGGAGCGCCCTAAATGCATCGCTCAGCTCTGGGAGGCGGCAGTCTCTTCTCCTATCTTTCGCGTGTTAGCATAAAATTTTTCGAAAATGGTTCTCAATAGTAAAATTTTTTATTATATTTGACAGAATATGAATGGTAGGAGTTCGACCTGGTTATCCAGGGAAATATTCGTGTTACTTCGATCTCGGCGAAGATGAAGACCCAGCATCATAGATGATGATCTGCATTTAAATCGACAAATAATTCAAATATGTAGGACAAATCTCAGCCAAACATACAATTTTAATTTGAATCGTCAGCAAAGATACATTTTTAATGCTATTTGCTGTCGAAATTAATTAAATTGCAATTGCATTAAGCAACACGAGTTGCAAATATTTTCGATGATTAATCGTTTAGCTAAAGCATGAAATAACGAACGGGCCAATGACGAATGCCAAATACTCTACCACCAGTAGATATCTATAGCTATGCCATGGCTAACAATTAGTGGTCATAAAACTATTACGTATGTGGCTGATGACCTGCTGCCCTGCACGCTGCATATTCCGTATTCAAGTTAATGAAAACTCTGACAGCGAATAATTCTGTCAACGGCCCATAACTTGTGGGGGGGTGGGGATCGGCCCGAAAGGGTGTAGAGAGCCGAAAATATTTCGTTTTTATTTTGAAAGCCTATTTATAAATACAGAAAATCTATTCATGTCTTCAAACCAAGTTTTTCCTCACCGAAATAACATTTCCCAAATCGATTGAATTTATTTTATTTATTTATTATTTATGATCAGATATTGTTGTTGATCTAATTGCATAGACTCTCCCGCAGGTATGATGCCGATCTAGATCGTTGCTATATAGCATTTAGCATGGCATATTTGAAGCTTTCTTTCACCCACATGGGTGAATACATGGATGCACACATACTCGTGCTATATACACATATCATATCATAGCTCATAGCGTGGATGAGTGTATTTCTCATCCGCATGAGTCAGAGAGACAGAAACAGTGACACGTCACAGCCCCGAGATGTCGATGCTATATGGGCCAAGAGGTATACTAAATCCACGATTTGTCAACTATTCGTTTTGACTGGCCATTAAATGGCAATTGGCATTATTAGAGCAGATCCGTGGCATCGTGTTTGTGAATCATCCATTGGAGGGGTTGACTTGAAGTTGTCAACGCCCGAATGGCAAATGACAACGCAAAATGGCAACAAAAAACAAAGAAGAGAAGCAGAGTGTGGGGAATGGGGAGTGGGAGCCTTTTCAGGGAACTGAAATGCATTAGAGCCACGCGCCGTTTTGTTTGTTTTGAATGCATTAAAAAGTCTATTTTTGTCCGGGCATTGGGTTTGGAATTTTGCTGCACCACCCACCGAGTTGGAGTCGGCCAGACCACCACCCCACCCAACTGGCGCCCACTTGAGCCCGCTATCTGTTATGTGGCACTCACCATAGAGCGCCTCTACGCCCAGAAAGTGGCTGCTGAGCACTTGTCAAATGGGCACACACGCACTTTGTGAAGCAGGAGGAACACCTCGTACAAGCTGAAGTCGATCTATATATAGCTGCATAGCACAAGGCATCCTCTCTATAGGTTCTCTATAGGTGTATGTGCGTGTGTGTGTGCTGTATCTGTGTGATCATAACAATTTTGACCCAATTTTGTGCGCTGGCACACACGAAACATGAAAGAAACAGAAGACACGATGCGAACGCTGAGTGATTTCTGTCTTGCCACCAGGCCTCAAGAGGTGGGAATATGCACGCACTCCTGTCCCAGTCCCAGTCGCAGTCGCAGTCGCACACCTCCCCGTTATATACCATCACTGACCTCAGTGCATCTGTAAAATGATGGGCAATGGGCCGTAAACCAGCTGGGAATTACAAGCTCAAATGCAATTGCATTGGCCGCAACGGCATCGAATTGGAAAGACAAGAATGAGAGAGAGCGAGAGAGAGACTTTCCTAAAGGAGATTTAGATCCACCATCTGATCTCAGTTCAGGTGATTTCCTAGAGAAAGATGTGGAAGCCAGGCAGTCACGGATCCCTGGATACAAGCTCAAGCTTAAATCCAATTGAATTTCGAACAAATTTCAATTCAAACCCAAATCGAATTGGGAATTTTTGACAAAAGGTGTCGTTGTGGTGTCTGGCTTGTGGCTATTTTTGGCGGACTTATTTATCGCCGAATTGCTTGCTACATATTCGCCAGGTTATTTTTAAATAATTACACATTCCAAAATGTGGCAAACACACAGAATGCTATTCTGTGCTGTGCTGTGCCTGGCATACACTTTCACATCAACACACAGATACTTTTGTGCGTGCTTGTGTGTGTGTGGCATCAAATAAATAAAGTTATGGCCAGGCAGCGCTAGAAGATACCAAGCACGAACTGGCCGGACAGGACAGCCACCTTATATATAAGCAATGGAGGGCCCATCCACGGATATGTATATATACATATACATATATATGTATGTATGTATGTATGTATGTATGTGGCAGCCTCAGGTGAAATGTGTGTGGAAAATGAACATGTTTATGAGCAAAGAGAGAAAAAACCCACTGAAATAACGTAAAATTCAGTTGCTAAAAATAAGCGAAAAATCATTTTTAAGTATAGCTATGCCTGTGTGTCTCTGTTCGCGTGTGTGTGTGGAGCACAGGTGGAGCAGATCGTTCACGACACGAACCATACCGATCCAAAGCCGAACTGAGGCGAAATTTTTCACTCAAAACAAAAAGCTTTGGTTCCTTTGGAAAATTGAGCTAAATACGAAAAAAAAAAAAATAAACTCACACATAAAACTCGCTCAAAAATGTAACAAAAATTGTTTAATAAACCATGCAGATCTCAATCTCTCTTCCAATTTCGGTTCCTATATGCATTTGGAAAGTCTTACCTGCTGCCAAAATTATGTATGTGCGTGTCCATTGATATAACAATTGTTAGGATGACAGAGCATTGTCTGTGGTGGAGCAGACACTGCTGTCGGCATTGCCAAGGATTCACTCAAAATACTGAATTTTCGTCTATATTTTTTGTGCACTTTTGTCGCTCTGTAGGCTTTCCTTCTTCTTTTTTTTTGTAGCCCACAGAATAACACGTTTCGATGCCAAAAGTCATGTATTTTTAGCCAACATTGCATGTACGTTTGTAATTCTAATTCTAATTCTAATTGGCTGTTAGCGAGAAATGATTTTTGAACACATTTCATAAAAATTATGAAAACTTTTACGATTTCTATGTCAGTTGGATTTGATAAGATGTTGTAATGCAATTTGGGGCCTATACTATGGAACATTGTACATATAGGTAGAATGGAAAATGGATGGATTTGGCTGCGGCTGTACTTGGTTTACGGTATCTTGAAGATTCGGTCATAGCTTTTCAATCAGATTTACTGCATATTATAAATCAACTTTTATATATTACACATATCCTAACTACCAATAGAAGTAAACAAATCGGAGGCAAACGGTAGAGATATTCACTGTGGAATATCGATATTTTAGTGACTGTTATTTTTAATGAAAAATACTCGTTAATATAGTCGCTTTAATGTATCTTTTAAACTTATTTAATAAATAAACCTTTGCTGAACTGAAAGTAGAGGCAAAACTAAGAACCATCAATTCTATCATCAATTAATAATTATTAAAATTTAGTTTATCATTGATATTAATACAACATACAATTCAATACAAGCATGTAGATACATTTGGAATACTTTTCGATGTTAATAGTATACGTATACGTAATCCTCGTAATCCTAAGGGAAAAATTATAGTGTTTATCAGCATAGACTTGGAGACATGAATAGGAATATATTTGTATATAGTACTACAGATTATATAACTCCAGAATCACATACTACAGATAAGTGCAGATTTTCTACCTTTCTAGCCACGAAAGTTTAAAATTTTTTGAATATTCTTTAATCACTACAAAAAACCGACACCATCACAATCTTAAACGGGCTTCTCGAACACCTATTTCTGGGAAAGTTCCCCAAAGCAAACAGCCAACAATATTGCCAGAACTTTGGGCGTTATGCTGGTCAGATATTGGCTTATACCGCAACCTGCTTATCAACGGACTACGTGCTGCAATATTGCTGTTGCCCAAACCCAAACCATAAACAAACAGAAAAGATATTAAAAATCAAACTAAATAGTGTGAAAAGGGAGGTGGGGCCCTATGAACCAACAAAATAACCAACTAAATGAATATAAATTATTAACTTTATGATCGGCAGAAGCTGCCAAAAATTTCACCATGACTTATATGTAGGTATGTATATTGTACCTACATATATGTGCGATGGAAGTGAAAATTTATGTGTAGATACATTTTGG